AACTTCGTCTCTCATGTCATTTGTTGGACTGTTTATGTGCATATATGTTTGGTTGCACCCTGTCCTGAAAAAATAATATTGCGTGTTACGGTTAAAGGCAATGATGAGACAATACGAAATGCGTGCGCTTGCCAGTCTTCCTCTTCTTACTGCGCTTTACTAATTACTAAATACAACTGTTTTAAAATAGACGGCATTAAAAATGAAAAGGAATAAATAAAGAAAGCGAAATAGAACAGCATATAATAATGTGTACTTATCTACTATGTGTAGGCATGGAGATTTCCGTTTGGAAGTGAGGCAAAATGGGATGGGGCGGGATAAAGAAACTTAATTTATAGACGGTATTGTTATCGGTTCCTCACCACATCGACAGGTGAATCCAATCAAACGAATTCATCGTCGCTCAGACCAAACCCAACCGCAGAATCAAGAGATGCCAAACCAGACAAACTAAGAAGTAAACGAATTCGTTCCTTTCACAACCTCCTCAGTTGGCCTCTCTGCCTCTTCTTCCAACCGTACCCCGGTTGCACAAACATCGCAAGCATCCGGAGGTGGTTTGCTGGCAAACGTAACACATGTTGCAGTCATCGAAGTCTTGTGGGCATAATAATGGTGCAGAGAAATAACGCTGTGCCTGCACCATTAACAAAACATCGAACACGCTTCCTGCTCATCGCTTCCCCCTATACATAAGTCCGACTGCAAACGTATCATTGGTCAAAAGTAACTAGCCTATTACATCGGTCTATATGATGGGCCAAGTTTCACAACTGCACGTAATGTTAAACGGAATGTTGTATTGTAGATTAAACCCTTTAAAGCTAGAGTGATGTCGAGCTTGCCTTACAAATCTCAAACCTTTTCAAAAGCGCCTCGAGATTTTGCTAACGGTCCAGGGCCTCTTATTTTTTTCCCCGGAAGCTGATACAGTCACTCGTGGAGTTGAATTTCTGTACGACGTCAAGTTGACCCGATGATCCTTGCAGGAGGCGGGACCAGTTAGTCTTGGATATTACAAAGCGTAGCCCAAAATGGTTGGTTATCGGTGCAAATCTGATCAACATTGTTTGACACGTTTGTGTGTTGCCACTGATCAGGTCAATATCGTCGGCTAGCACTGAGTAAATTACTTGATCACCTTGGGGCAGCTGCACACTTTCTAGGTCGTGTTCTGTTAATGTAATTTAGCGACTTTGACCTTGGCGGGGACAGCTTGCCTCAACCATTCGCCCTTTACGAAATACGTGCATAAAGCGCTCTTACAATGTTTACGTGTTTCTCTGCCACACCTTTCGCAACCAAACAATACCGAAGGGCACATCAATTCATCAATCGTAGGGATTTTGGTATCGAGGATCGCGAACCATGTGAGGAAGTATATAAGTGACGTTGTTCCACCAACTGACTTAAACAGAAGAAATGGCAACATTGTACTGATTTCGATGAAACCTAGCTTGTTCTGCACAAACCTGGATTTAACGGACAAGCAACCTCTGAAAAACGACAGAATCAAGTAACTTAGGGGCAATTGAGATCAAACCAATCCGCTCATGAATGCAGCTTTCCGAGCTCGAGACACCTTCGACAATCAGAACTATTTCCGAGATGCTCCATTTGGTTGAGACAGTTTCCTGCTCCCACAGTTTCGCTTTTAGATGGTGTAAGTTATCTACATGAACGATTCCCTCGGGAGAAAGGAAGGACGAAGGAAAATCGTCGACTAGAGAGATCTTACTCAAATTTAGCTGTCCGATTTCACCTTTGACTTCTGCAGAAGTTGCGGCTTCGGACGTATGGCACATAAACCAGGTTGGTCGCTTCATGGCAACAATTATAGTGGTTCCGTCCAAATGAGTTGTATTTCAATTTACTAAGTTCATCGCGATAAACGTGTTGACTAAAATGTGTACAGGTATTTCAGTCTTGTCCAAAGGTTTTGTGTCTGCCGTTCTTTGTAGGCCTTCAGCGACTAGTGAGGGTGTTTGTCGAGAGGACCGTAAACGCCTTCGTCTAGGCCGTGATTGCATCGACCAAATAGTTTCAATTCGCCACCAACTAGAACTCTGTCACCAATACTTCAATCAAAAATTCGTAGTGTTCTTGCGCACTTGGGCAACATTTACCCTAATAGATGGATCAAATTTTGGCTCTGTTACATGAAGAACATTGTGCCTGATAATGTGCAGCCATTTTGTTGAAACAGTGAAGATATTCCTAAGCAAAACAAGGACTTCCAATGGACTCTCTTCATTTGCTCTCAATATCGACGTTTAAAAAAGATGTTTCCTTTCGCTTTTCCTCTTCAAGTATGCCATCAAGTATATCATGCTACAGTCGTTAGGGGTCCAGAACTGCAGTGTCGTGCTTCTTCCTGGCGACTAGACGGTGGACTTGATCTACCCTGAGAATATCGTTTTGCTGTGAGACCGTTTACAGACAGTGTAAAACACTTTGCACCGCCTAGCCATGGAGCCATCTAAGCCAAATGTGAAAATCTACCAAAAGGATGAAAAAAATGTACCTTCACTCACCATTTCCAGAAACATTCTGGGACAATTTATTTGCTTCTCTTACCTATGAAACTGTCACATAGCTACGGATGGTGTTGAAGATAAGATTTCACTACGGATCGAAAGAGCACTCTTTGTATTCATCCCACTGAGACACCTATGCCATCGTTACGATGACAGTATGGCTCAAAGGATAGGAAGGAATTGTTACTGTTTGAGAAAGATTGCTCAAGTATGGTGGCAACATTACTAAACAGTAATGAATTACCAGACCGAGTGTTTGGGACAAAAGGTCCTGGCCCTAAAATCCTATTCTTCATCACTGTTGACTTTAGATTACAATGTGTTGCGGATGGTCGTCATGCACCTTCACCGTTGTGAGTTAAATTAGCTTCCGGAAAGGTGCTGGAAAACATGCTGAGGTGGACGGCCAATGGTGTAAAGAAGGAGGATGACGAAGGCAGTCTCAACTCAGCATAACTGGGACCGGTCCGACTTGCAGGCTGAGTGCCCACGCGACTCGGACTCCCATTGGTTGACAACTTTAGATGTTATGGTCTACAACAAAATTCATTGACACCAGTGCCGTTCTGTTGTAACGTATACTTTTCAGTATACAAGCAAAAAACGAAATATGCTCAAAACGACGTGGATGAACTAGACTAAGGGTCGTTTTTTGGTTACCTATTTTGTTCTTAGCTTTGCTTTTAACTTTGGCAATGTTCAAAAGGTAGATTTTCGGTATACGGTATTATGAACTTGTATATATATATATATATATATATATATATATATATATATATATATATATGATGTTGCTGATGTTGCTTTCTTGATGCTTCTTCGCCGCAGTTGGGCTAAACCAAATTACACTTAAACTAAGTTTTGTAAGCTGGATAAATTTCATTCCACATTATTTTGTTTGTTCTGCCTACCTGCATAATCTTCTATTAACTGGCCACGTTGCGTACGCAAATTGCGCTTATCTTCGGTAACTTTGTTGCGTTTGTAGCATATTTAAGTAACTTGTAGGCATTTCTTACTTATCGCGGATTCTTTACTAACCAACTTACTTCATATGGTAATTTGGCGCAGAGTTATGCCACCGTATCTGTATGCATTATGGGATTCATTTTATATTATCTTGTCGTTTCAAGTGATTGGCTGTTGCTTGATATACCCGGTGAGGCAGCGCTTTATGTGCATGTTGACAAGTTGCCTACCTGTCTATTACCCACTATCTTGTTCATACTGGCTCTAGGAGACAGTTGGTCGTTGCTGGAGGGGACGGGGTGCGCAGTCCTTGTGGTCGTGCTAGGCTCAAAGAACGGTTCCATGCAGTCAGTTTGGAGCGGACTATGGTCCGGCCACCGTCTTGTGTGCGCTTTATTCCCCAAATAGAGCGTGCTGGTGTTTGCCTGTGAAGGAGTGTGGGCCGGCTCCGTTGATGAAACTTGGCTCCCATCCACATGCCTCTCGGTCTTATTCTTTCGGGTTTACACTGGATATGGGGTGTGTGGTTGGAGCTGTGGGTCGTGCAGCGCAAGCCACCCATGGTCCCTCTGTAGGCGCAGGCGTCCTTTGGCTGGCCACAGTGACAGGCAAATTCGAAACCGGATGCCGCCAGGCATTTATATAATTCATCCAGCAGATTATGTCATGGGCACAGGTGTGCAGAAGTTGCATTTTTGACAGACATGCTTTGTACCATCTTAACATCCATGGTAGTGAGTGATGAGGCGTGTTTCCAATTCAAAACTTGAGGATAACCTTAGCCGTGGTTTCTCATACTCTAGTGGTTCATGCCAACGATCTGCTGTTAGCACCCTCATAGGTTCAGATGCGTCTTTACCCGCGTGATTTGTACGCGTTTGTACTTTATTTACTGTGAAGTAACGGCGTCAATGGCGTTTTAGGATAGACAAAGGATCGTACGAGATTTTTTTATTATTTTAAATCATCTACGGCAGTGTGGTCTGGTCTGAGATACCGTGCTGTTGCTAGCAAGAATTGCGACCTCCTCGAAACACCTTGACCATTCTCGAAAGCTTGATTGAAGAATCGAAGATATAAATTACAAATGAATGAGAATTTCATTTCTCGTTTTCCCTACTATCTGAGAGAATGAGGCGGTTGAAACTAGTATTCAGCCTAAACATGTGTGCGAAATCAGTTACTTATATTTATGGCTATACCTAGGTGCTTGTTGGGAAAAGTCCTTAACTGTTCATCCTAAACTACAAACTGTTTGATTAAAGCAGGTATCTTGTGAATAGATATCGAATATTTGCTTCACGTATAGAAGGCTATGCCCACTCGTAGCATTCAGCAATGAGGTCTCAGCACAAAGAAAGGCATAAACGAAATTTACCGCGGCGCGAACTTGACATTATAATGGCACGCTGCAATATGCATAACAGAGAAAAGAGTGAATGTCGACCTTTAAGCACTCCTATTATTGATTCATCTTTACCGAATTTTTAGTCGACAAAGAACGATCCCCTAGCCAGAGGCCGCTGCTCACTGAGGACCGTAAACTGACAGGGAAGAAGCGAGATGGTGTGTCATCGCATGAAAGTCACTCAGAGAGTAGACAGAATCGTCGAACCGGAAGTCCAAAAACGAAACCTGGAAAAGGATCATGCAAGAAAAGTGTACTACCTAAAGCTGCACCAGAAGAAGTGGAGGCTGGTCCACCCTCACCGAAGCCTAGTGATCAGGACTGGATTTATGTTGATGCACCTCTCCTACAGGTATACATAGTGTGTAAACTAATTGCTAACCGAGAGCCAATTGATGTTGCAATTATTTTCCTTTAATTTCCTCTCGAAAACATCAAAATAGTGCGTGTGTTAACCGCCTACCTCCAACGATCACTGCCACCTCTTTAGAATATGGCATTGCTAGTGTGCTCGTCATTTAAATCAAAGAAAGAGCAACTTCATTTTGCGTCCGCGCTTTTTTGTGTTGGTCGACTTTATGCCACACAAAGACAGTTTCAAGAAAATAATCGCCACTTCTCATGAATGTGGTCTGCGCTTAGTGCACTGACACAGTTAACTTGCTGACCCTGTCAATTGTTAGTTATTTTGCAACCACCAGTATTGCACACAGGTAGGGGTGCAGCAGGATTCCAAACTTTTAGTGTGTATGGGAGCAAACATACTAGACTGAAACATATATTCTTAAATTCTAACCAGCAACAGTACCTTCACCACTTGCCGATAGTCAATCCTCAAGGTAACTTCTTAAAACGCGTCAGAAATGCCTGCTTTTGTATTCACTAAGCGCAGGAAGAAGACATAAGCCGCGGAATGTTGACATTACCATTGCTATCCTCAGTCACGAACGCAATGCCATCAGTAATAAAAGAGTAGGGAACATGTGGAACCCAAAGTAGAATAAAAGGATCAATAAAGATTAAGGCAATCTGTCAGCTTGCTTCAGTTGCTTCTGAGCAAAAGCATCGGGTGCTATTTGGCGAATAGTAAGGCTTAACTGATAGCGAGTCCTTTTGGGTTCCGGTCGCGTTACAGTATGTTACCGTCTAAAGAAAAACCATAATAAGCCGATCAATTGACGTCACTTATGCTGGCAACAGTGCATTGGAAAGTTACCAGATTGTTTATGTTTAGAGACCGGAATTTTGAAGCTTTGAGCTTGCACGGATAACCATGGCCCCCCATACAACTATCCGTTTAGTGAGATAGAGCTAGCTAGAACGGATTAGTTGAATAACGTTTGATAAATGCAACGAACAAATCTGCCGGGTCACAAACGTTTCACCTGTTCAATAAAATCCTTGTTCTTTTTCCCTACCCTTGCTTAAGTTCTTAGCCCAACAACCTAGTTAAAGTAACTCCACCATCTACATGAAATCCACTAATGTGCAAAGCCCTATTCGTAGCCTCTCGGTATATGTTAAGCGAATTACTTACTTGGGCCATCATTTACTAACATTTTCTAACGGCTAGAACTAGTGTTAGAAATCACAGAGAATCCATGGTTTCGGAACGTTGAAGTTCTTCGTATTGTGTTCCTTTTCACGATAACGGTACCGTCCTTTGATTTTGCTAGCTCCTAATAGCTCTATGTATATCCGTAGACTGTCGCATATATGTATATATATATTTATATGTATATAAATATTTATATTTAGGGAAACACTCATGTCCTTATGTATTTCCGTTCCTATGCTTTTACCTCAGGTCACTTATTGCGGATTGATGGATTGTACTATCGATCGCCTCACTTTAAATCCCGTCTGAATACAAACCTCTTAGCCGGCTGTGTGACTGGTTGTACCTCGGTTGACTGACGCCTCGTTTAACCTCGCTCGACGGTTCGTAGCTTTTAAGCACGAATCTGTTGTAAACTTGCAGTCTGGACATTGTCAAGGTTTGTCTTTAACTTGCTACCCTAACCTTTGGAAGATAGCGCCCGAGCTCACTTTCTACTTCGACTTTTGGATTGACTGGGAGATCCTATGTGTTGCGCGTTTAGGCCTTGCTCTGCAAGATGAAAAGTCTTTGTTGGCCTGAAGGCCACTGGCTCACTTGTTCCCTTAGAATTCCAATCTCCAATAGTGGATCTTTTCATTGACATTAAGAGTACGTCAGCCATCACTTTAAAGATCCACCAGCGAACTCATACCTTTTACGGTCTTGACTTTATCCTTGATTTTTGCATTCAACATTTTAAACTGTTTTGATCAATGTAACGGTGCTGCAGATATCTTAATGCTATATGTGGACACTCTCCGGACAATCTGACTAATGGACATTTCTGTACAGATATGCTTCCGGTTAAACACATGGTGGGTTTATAAAGGAAACAATAAAACTTTGGAATTTTCGTGTTTATTATTTCCAAAGGAATCACTAATAGGTGCTTGAAGGTTGAGATGCGACGAATTTGGTAGCACTTAGGCATTTTTGTACCATTAGGAAATGAAGCACAATCGAGGAGAGTAAACTAATCCTCCCTCGATCTGAATAATCTAACTAGCATTGACTGAACGAGTAGCAAACTAAGTGCTCATAAGACATTGCATACAGGCACTAGTGAAATGTTATGTTACCCAGTGATTACGGTCAGTGCAGGAAATATGTGGTGTTGGTGTAAATATATGTAATCAAGTCCACTGAACAAAGCCGAAATGATGCTGGCCATATAATCCGGAAAGGCACCTTAATTCACCGCTTTCATCCATCCTCACTACATTCCTGGTATAAAACATTGTATGTGGAAGGCATTTTAATAAGGCTCGGTTGTAAACAAAAGAAGAAGCTCTGTCAACACTACGGTTATTAACCTCTAGCCAAAATTGATTCCATATTGCCAATCAACATTATGGCATCCGTCAAACACCAGGAAAGTCCACGATAGATTCACCGTGATTTTTATTTTCGAAATTAATTTACATTTGGTGTTAGTAGTTTTAACTCCTTAACGACATTCGTTTTAATCCCCTAGGATTGCGCCACTATTCTAATGCAGTTCTATGAGAATTCGTGTGCGACTTACAGGAAAAATGTGAAAGCCGTCTTTGCAGAGGTCAGACATGTCCGATGGACAATCGAGCCACATCTTCACCATGCAAGCATACAATTTCACAATTATCTCCAGAGACCAGACACAAAGCAACCCTATGTTAGTCAATTTCAAACGGTAAGTTCTCCCAAACTTGCGCACCATTTTTTCATATTTCTCATTGTTTAGCTACATTTTAGTCATATGGTACCATCCTCTAAGTTCATTCAAGTAAATCATTGTTTGCTTGAGCAACACACAATTTTCATATGAGCTGTAGCTCCTGTGACTTCGCAGTTTTTCTAAAAGTGTAAGGTTGACTTTTCTGGTGGAATAGAACGAAAGGGGGATCAAAACTTAACATCGAAAGAAGCAAAATCTGTATGAGGATAAATTACATTTAGCACCTCGATCAACGCTAATGTATACAATCTGATGGGCAGTGCTCAGCGGTCTAAGTTCATCAAGTGTACCACAGATGAACAGAAGCTACAGCATTTTAAGCAAAATGATTTCATTGCAACCATTTCATGTGCTGCGTTTAGTTTACCCTCGATCAATCATACTTGCATATACGGGGGTTGTTGAATAACTCATCTTAACTTTTCTTCGTCACATCTAAACTGGATAGGAAGTTCGGAATTTCTCACTTGTGAGTTGGTAATTCATTTTGACATGAACAGCCTCGACTCCCATCACATAATTGTTGGCAAAGTAAGTTAATTTCCATAACTCAAGCCACCGTTACTGATTCCAACAACCGACTAACGAGTGCAGAAAAAGGACAAGGCTATGGTGAGGGCGAGAAGTGGTTCATCAACCAAAGCAACACGACCCATTCACGGTCCTGAATATTTCTTATTTCTCAGAATTTAAGTTATCTTTGCTTTTTGTATGAACGGAGTTAGAGATCATTGACGGTATCTCGACGTGTTTAGACTTAGAAGCGTGTTCGGAAGGTTCTAGGACAGTAGTCGCAAAAATTTAGTTCAAACCTAAACTTCACGCGAACAGTTTTCCTAGCTAAAATAGTGCCATAGTGGTTAGCACACGTTCCGATACTTCCTTTCCAACCTTGCAAAACTTTCTGGAAGGATTAATCCGGGATGCTCCGCTGCTCCATCATCACGGCCTCTTTGATGCAATTCACGTCTCCAACATCAGTCCCCTAGATGAATAACTTGAGTTTGAGGAAAAGGAAACAATTCCCGCGGATTTACTTCAGGCGTCTAAGGAGGTGACTCCAGCACGATGCTCTCGGAGAAGTAATCTCTAAAGGTTAAGGCATTACAAGAGGTGGAGCTGCTACGAGTTTTCTCGTCAAAGCACACCTACACTCACCTATTGTAGGAAATAAACAATTTTCAGGCACAATAAACAGCTACCACACATCCAGGAAAGCGCTAGATGGCCGTTTCGTCCTATTGGGACTAGTCGGTAGCAGCTTACATGCCACCTCGATTGGTGGCGGCTTGCAAAACAAGTCTTTGCTCTGGGTGCCAGCCTTGTGCTCTGCACGTGCATAACATGCAAGACACTGGAGGATGAGCTGCGGTATATCACAATTAGATATCAGTCATGGCGGTCCGTTGCAATCGTCCATGGCTCAGTAACGCACGTCGCTGACTTGCAAGAGTAAGGTCGTGGGTTCGAATCCGGCAGGATTCGGCGCGTGCGCACTAGTGACGAGTCCCAATACGACGGAACGGCCGTCTAGCGCTTTCGTGAATGTGCGGTGGCTCGCTGACTGTGTCTAATTGCGACTAACCTACACAAAAACCTAATAAATCCCCCAACCGCTTACAAATAATTGTAGACTTGCTGGTTGATCAGATGAGATTGTGGCAAGAATTTCCACTCTAGGATTCACCTTACACAGGTGACTGTGATCAACATGGCTATGACTTTGGACGTTGAAGGTCGGACAATCGTCGAGTTGTGTAACCTCGGCCCCTTTCATTGAATGTTCTGGCGCTAGGGTTCGGTGTCGTAATCGATGATGCACGACAATTTTGATTGGGTTTCGACATGATTTTCCCTTCTTAACTCTCCGTCGGTCATCAAAGGAACCTGTTTTGGAGACTTTGGTGACAAAGAAAAGTTCCTAACGATGGGGTAAAAGAGAATCCAAGAAGTCACCTTTTATTAGTGGATACAGGCTTAGGCGAAAAGCATGGGAACTTACATTACACTCCCAGGAAACTACTCTGAAGAGCGTACTCTTAGTTTGGCTTTTGGTTTTTAACTAAATCTATTGTAACACTAGTACTGGGTTCTTTCTGACACACTATGTATATGGCTGAGTGCTAGTCTAATGAAGGAAAGATCAAAAGGGGAACACTGTGGGAAGACACCATTGTTAATTCCAAAATAAAATTTATCACGTAGACAAGTGGCAACATGTATGTAGATTGTGTAGGCGAAAACGACTATTTGCTCCAGTATGCTTTCTGAAACCGATCCCGTACACAAAATTTAAGATGCTGTCCAGCTGCTTTAGGCACCGTTTCTCTCTTGCAATTTCTCTACATTTGCGCTATGTTTTTTCTTCAGGAAATTGAACCTGAACTAGGGTCAGAAACATTCATTAGTTGACAGTAACACAAGTCAGAGATTGTCTAGGCAAATATGGAAAACATACAAAACTGGTGGAAATGCGTCAAACTATAAGAATTAATTTCATTCAACATTTCTCCGTAGTCCATATCGCATCTAGCAGGGTTTCTGCCATATAGATTTTATGAAATAAACTCTAGGTAGCGATTGTGAAAGCGAATGAGAATAATATTCATACAGGTACGGAAGAAAAATGGAAAATATTTACTACTATAAACTACATGAGTAACCAGATATCACTCTGGGTATTCATAACTTTTCCCCATGTGCAATTAGTAATGCTGACATCCAAGTCAGTGTACTTGGTCCTTCCCTTTTCCTAATTGATATTAACAATATCATGATGTTCATGAAACATGGCAGGCCCTTTTGTTCGCCGATGACATAAAGATTGTTTACAAATTTCGACGAGACGAACTCAATAGCACATCAGTACACGTTCAAGAAGTCCTCGATTCACTTGCGGAATGGTGCAACACATGGTTGTTAAATTTCTGAGTTAGTAAATGCTGCATTGTGTCAAACGAATGTTTAATCTCTGTAGAGTCTGTGAAATTGAACGTATCCGTATGAGACTATGCAACTATGATCTAGGCATGCGATACTCTTCAAACTTTTATTTCTCAAAGCAAGCTGTATCAAATAGTATGTGGCAAACGATACTCGCTTAAGATATCCCATAAACTGTTTACAACGCCTGGCAGACTCGAGCTTTTCAAAATGCTTACATTTACTGTCCTTGAAAACTGCAGCATTATCAATGGGTACATGGGTATGGGTGACAGAAAAGCTTTGTGAAATTTGAGAAGACAATGCACTAAGCGCTTTTTAGTAAATCAACCACGAGTTGTCAGGAACGCTGCTAAAAGCTTAAGCTCTAGCCTTTTTGTTTGCGGCGACTGTAACATAACCTGATGTTGATACACAGTCTCATAAACCAAAAGACATGCTCCAATCTGTATACACTTAAAATTCAACATAACCTCACTCGGGATATACGCAACAAGACCTGCACATTATGTTTGCCGAGAATCAGGACAGCTATCTGATTCCAATTTCTTCCTCGTCAGATACGCTGTCGTGTGGAATAGCCCACCGGCCACAATCAGGTCTTGTACAACTACAAGAACATCCTATCTTCAGCTTAGTAACTTGCTGGACCGGAACCCGGTAATGACTATCTTTCCATTGGGTAACTCGTCACGCTTGTTCTTCCAGGATGGAACAAGGAATAGATAACCAAATAAATAAAGATGGTACAAAAAGCGCCGCGACAACAAAACTTGTGATTCCAAATAATTTTGAAATCTTGCAACTCATAATACTTATCTCACTCGTGTATAAGCAAGATAATTTTTGTATACATGATCTATCCACCATCCAGGGACAGCTTCTCGTATAATCGGAAATATGTGTATTATTATTACTATGTAAAATGCCAATAACATCACAAGAGATCAATAGCAAATAAGAGAGATTTAAGACGAGAACTTGCAACATCGCTTCCTCAGTATACATCTCAGCTTCTTCACGGAACAGAAACATCATAATCAAAAATTTAGTAGGATATGCAATTGTGATAAGAGGCGGCAAGTGTGCAACTTTTTCCAGTTAAAGCGGCTTCAGACTTAATTTATGGTTCATAAAGTTTATTTGGAAAACCGATACCTTTTCAGTGTTCGAGTAGTTCAATACAAGCTTAGCATTTTGTACAGACAAACTGTTGCCGAGATTGCATTGGAAATCCCACTGCACCTTCACCGGTGAACCTGTGTGAGCTCGACTCGTGCCGAAATACAGGATGCAGTATTTTTAACTGAAGACGAAGAGCAGGCTATTTTTAGCCGTCAGGAAATTCATCCACAGCTTTTAGATCAATGCCTCACAATAACGGTCAACAGAATGCATCCATAAAATTCAAAGTAAATTAGATGAATGCAAAGGAACTTCATCCCTAGGCAGGAATACATTGAGCACTAGCTCGACTTGTTTGAAACTTCCTAGACCCTAGTTCAACTTTATGCAGAAAATATAGCCATTGGGGAAACCGCAATTAAAGCTATGGTGCTGGTGTTGCGTGCATGTCAATGTTGGCTCACTCTCGCCCTCTTTGAATTGTGCAAGCTTTCTGATCCCTATAATTTTTTGGACGAGTGTTTATCGATCGAGTACTAAGAGAACCAGTATGCAGGTGCACTTGCATATGTCGTACGTCAGCGTGTCTTTTCCCTTCACCTGCTTAACCTCTAATTTTAGTTAAACTTACTAAGGTACAATAGCTTATTTTTATTACTGTCATTTGATATGTCTTGCAAAAAATAGGTAGTATGATGCACGAAAATGTCGTATCCCCTACAACGCAAGGAACCAACCACCGATTATTCGTTGGGCCACAATTTGTCCATTCTACAAACTACAGTATTCCACAACGCGAGTAGAACCTATCGATCAGGTTGCACCGACCTTGCGGATATTAAACTCTGGTGACGGTGGTCTTGTACCGTGTTTTGTGTAATAATACTAGTATACTTTTAAGGTTTATCTAACCGCCGTCATTTGTTTCATGGTGCGACCTAGCTTACATGCTCAAATTGAGGACAATTTTTTGATACCTCATAACCTTGAAAACGTTATTGCAATGTTGCAATACCTAATTTTATTACAACAAGTGCTCTGCTGGGAAATTCGCATCTTCTGGTCACAAAAATGCTCGAAGCCATGTAGTTTCAGGTGTGGAAAATTTGTGTTGTACATATTCCATGAATAACTGTCACCTGCATTTGCATACACGGGAACATTGCAACTACCATTTACGCCATTTTACAGTCGTTCAACTCATTTCTTGACGAAACACGGATGGACCATGAAATCAAATCCGAATTGCACTGTCGTACAGATGATCTCAGGGACAGGTTGTACGAGATAATGGATGAGGCAAAATTAGCCAATGAAGAGAAGGTGCAAGCTTTCATAAACCCATCTGATTGGCTAACTGATCGGCTTGGTCTATTGGTTAACTGCTACGTCACGCTGATGCAGTTGGAGTTGACCCAATTTCAGAACCATGTATATTTCCTGAGGGATTACTACAGGTGAGAAGATAGTATAAGTGAAATCATTTCCCCAGAAAAACGGATTAGCAGCCATGACCGCACTCCCTTGATACTTAAAGAATACTTGGATACGCCACATAAGCTACGCAGTTGTTTCCCACAATGGACGATAGATGACCTTGATCCTTCTAAGTAAACAAGTTTGCATGGTTTGTCAGCTCAGGAATGAGCTGATAGGCCATGGATTGGATAGAGCAGGATGCTGTTTCCCTATCGGAGTAGATTCGCTTGATCAAGCTAGCAAGTCACACTGTGTCTAATGAAAACCAATGTTACTTTTCACCGGACGTAAAAATACGCGAACTGCGCTTACAATCGCATCCCTGCACTCAAACACCTGACATACCTGTCATGCAAAGGCAATGGTATTATACTGTCACAATTATCAGGTGATAAACAGGGAAACCTCACATTATCCGACTTTCAACCCCAACATTGCTGCACTTCTTATCTGCCAAGGTTTCAGTAAATATAAGCCGAGCGGTTAAAGGTAATTCCTACGACCCAGAGTAGAGGTGTATGGCTTGTGTTATTCAAGCAACTACCTAGTGGATATTCACAAAATCCATATGCCAAATTAGATTGCATTAAGAAGGACCATTGTGAGATCAGTAGTTCTTTTGGAGTACCATTTCATGGTCGACTGGAAACTTTGTTAAACGACAAGAATGATTTAGCTATTAATCATGGTTAAAAGGAAAACTTAAGTACAAGATTAACGACAAGTGTACTAGCGCTAACTAAAAGACGACATTATGCTTTCTACGCCGACCGGTTGATTTGAACGTCGGACGGATTATATCGGTAAATGAACTAGGTAACGTCACGTGACTAAGTCGTCCTGTACACCGCTTCAACGCCCCATTGCGCTTGACACCATGAGCCTTGAAGTCAACTTGGACCGATACTAAATACCAGTGTTAACAGTGAATAAGGTGCTCAGAGCTGGGTAAGCCGTTCTTCACTATTGAACCAGTAGGGAATAGTAGTATATAGCAGGCATAGAATCTAACGTTTAACATCGCCCGTAGGATGGACTAGACGGAATTACCAAATTGACGAGGAGTGGATTCAGAAACCTTATTGTGCGCTAATAAGCTCACAAAGTTATTCAGACTGTAACACGCATGAGTCCATCTGGTTTCACCTCGGAAGTACACGTTACGTAGCCGCCTGGTGAACGCAAACTATACCATGAAATACACGTAGTTCAGTGCGCTGTGAAGTCTTTCTGAACTGTCATTACTTTGAAGGCTGAAAAACACGTACGCAGCTGAGGACGTTTTAAATGTAGCATAATCGAAGGGAAACAATTGTCGACGGAATTCCAGTCGGTTATACTGCATGACCAGCTTTAAAGAAGGACGTCTCAGGTTTGAGCCGCAACTTTTGTACCGGTTCCTCCGGGTTTGGTAATCCACTTGAAGTAGGATCGAAGATGCCAGTACTAACTACTGCATACACCTAGGGACTTCAGCGACGCAGTTGGGAGTTTACCCTAACCTACTTGGATGATCATCGCTGTGCTCTCTGCATAAGGAAATCGAATTTCCTTCGCAAGTGCTATGTTTGGATACCACACGCTAGTGATTTAGCAGGTACATGATAAGCATGTTTGGAAAGAGAGATTAAGTATACCGAATTCTCTGTGCAAAAGCCCCGTATATTGGTTGTAGGCTTATGATGTCATCTCAGTTTGTTTGAAGTGGCCAAGTTGGCTTTCAAGAAATATTCGGTGTTGACGCCCAGTAGAGGCATTCCGCACAATATGATCCGAATGTTTGTGTAAGAACCGCGACTGGTTTATATGATCAACACTGTATTAGCCGTGTTAAACTGTTGTCCGTTCCTCCTCGGCTTTTCACACACGCCATATAGGTTTAACTGCAAGGAACTGTGATTGTCATGATCGCAAACTCTCGGTGAGTAGCAGGGACTACCAGCAGTTATGCCTTCCACGTTCGTTGCCACATAAGAAGAATAGTCACGTCCGTATCACTGAATCATCTATAACGCCTAATTCCGTCTCTGTTTAATAAGTGAACGATATCCTAAGGAAAACGTGCAGACTATGATGTAGAAAAAAAGCTGTTAATCTACGCATGGTCCTGATCTCCGATTTCTCAGCAATGCAGGCCATGAACAAGGAACAACCATTTATAATGGGTAAGCTGGCAGGTGCTTGACATGTCCCGTAGGGTGTTTAGAATGACAAAAAGCTAGATCAAGGGATAATGGAGTCGTTAGTTTTGGCGCGTACAGATTTAACTGCACTGTCATATAAAGGGAGTTTGAAATGTGAATGGACGCACACAAAGCAATAGGGGAGCGGCTATTGTTCATTTAATAAGCGAGAAAAAAATAAAAAGACTAGCAAAGAAAACGCTTACTCGTGTGCAGCTATCTCGGGTCGACGGGAAACAGAAATCCAGTTTCTATAGTAGTAGCGTTTATCAAATTTCGTGCAAGGGGTTTGGAGTGACTCATTCTCGAGTAGGGTTATGGCACTATCCCCTGTCTGTTGTGCATTAGTGCCAGCATCTGGTGGTCATGAGCTATAGCACGTAGTGTAAATGTGACAGAGTATCGTCAAGGCGTTTTTTGAAGAGGGATAGGGTGAATGCATTAATTACGTGTTCCGGGAAGGCGTTCCAAGTTTGTGACACTCGAAGGGAGAAATAGTTTCGCCGACATTCCATGCGGCTATAATGCTTGAATAACTTAAGCTGGTGTCCTCTTAGCGAGGAGTTTGACTGGGTGTTAGAAGGGAATGGTATGGTTGGCAGGGGTTTCTCAGGATCTGGTACGCCATGCTGAGATCGCCCCTTAGACGCCGATAACGTTCACTGTATATTTTGAGGGTCTTCAGCCTGAGTGGGTAGAGGATGCTGGTCAAACCTCTGACGCTCTTTGTTGCCCTAATTTGTGCAGTATCGAGCGCGGTGAGATGGTGCTTGAGCCTGGGTTGCCACGCTTGAATAGCGTATTCCGCGTGCGGCTTCACGTACGCACGAAGAATTTTTGAAAAGATCGAAGGGTCAAACTTCCCGAAGGCTCTGCGAAGAAGGCCGAGGTAGTGGTTCGCTTTCTTAGCTGCCTTTTCAGTCTGCCTGGAACATCCGAGGTCACCTTGAACTATAAAGCCGAAATCCCACTCGTGGAAAGCCCGCTGCAGAATTTGTGATCCTAGGCGGTACTTGTGCATACGCTTCTGCCGCATGCTGAGACCTTTGAATTTGGAGACGTTGAAATGCAGCATGTTCTCGATAGGCCATGTGTACGCCTTGTCCAGGTCCTCCAGCAACAATGTGTGATCCTCCACTGCAGCCATAGTGCGCCATACCTTTAGATCATCAGCAAATAGCAAACAGTTAGAAGATGGCACGCTCGCGAGATCATTTATGAAAAGCAGAAACAGGCGGGGTCGAAGTACCGAGCCTTGAGGTACGCCGCAATGAACTTCGATGAATTCCGACAGGTTGCTTCGATCCCCCACATTCAGGTTACGTTGCAAGAGAAAGTCTCCTATCCAGCCCAGAACAGGATCACTGATTCCATATTTCTGGAGTTTTTGGAGGAGAATGCGATGGTCTAGACGGTCAAATGCCTTTGAGAAATCCAAGTAGACCAGGTAGACTCCTACACCAGCTTCCACGGATTCCGTCCAGGTTGTACGAGCAATCAACAGATTAGTGGTACATGAGCGGTTTTGGCAAAATCCGTAGTATACGATTTTCCATGTGGTCGACATTTTAGGTACCTGTCAAGCAGATAAGGTTGATCTTACCTAAACCTCTATCGAATTACCTTGTGCCACCAGGATGTTGGTGGTGCAAGAACGGTGTTGGCGGTTCAGTTTTGTTGCTGAATTGAAAGCTACTGTCTTAGATACAATCTATTTAAAAAACGCGTAGGTTCAAATGCCCATCTAGCCAATCGTTTTCTGTTGTGACAGTCATTAAGTTCACCGTGATACAGTTGCATTGGAGTATATATTTATTCTGACATCTCAAATGCACCGGGTAACAGGTGAAATCTTGTTGACCCTACCTGATAGTCTGCGATAAGTGCGAAACGCGTTTTTGAGTGTGTGTAGCGCCCACTATTCGTCAATATCTGCTTGTCTTGCCTAACAGGTGAATCTTCGTTAAGTAGCATCCATTTTAACTTCCAGAACAATGGAAGGACGACCTCATACGTTTGAAGGCGAGCATCTATCAGTACTTGACGGCACCATAGACTGCAATGACGCTGAATTTGGTCGATTGCCTTTGCTTAAAGTAAGGTGATGTTGTTTTTTGTGCGTCATAATAACATAACGTAATACTCTGTGTGGTAGAGCAGGTTTGACATTATGTGGTCAAATTATCCAGTCGCATACCCTGTGATTGTTTCCATATGTTCACGAATAAAGTATTACGCCAGCCACCAGTGATTTGCAGTCGATAACTCAACTAACCGAAGTTGCAATTCATAAAATTGCTGTTTTGGTGTATAATTACTCGTTACTGGTTTTGTGATTTGCCACGTCCTTAACTAACTGGACAGTAAATTTTAACAGTCTGGGTCTTTATAACAGTTATATCACAGCTTTAGTGAAAAATTCTCATCCATCTTTTGTTACCAGCTCACAGAACAAGCGGATACAGCTTACGATGCTGGTCATAGCTCCAAGACATCTTCTAGAAATACGGGATTAGGCCACTCCGGAGATGGTGGATCTCGAGGAGCTCCCAGCCGTGACAGATCACGAACGACCTATCTGTCCGATTATAGCAGTCCAGCGGGATCTGATGCCGTCGACGTGGTTCCAGAGTATAAGACGCCCATCAAACTGATACACTTGAAAGCAAGCTTGAACGAAATGTACGCCGCGATGACAAAAAGTGAGTCTCATTTCATTAGGCGATCGAGCTCACCTCGACGCATGCTAACTGCTTAACACCCAATCACCGCTTTAGAGGCACATAACATTTTTGCCCCCGAACTACACGAAGTCAAAGAGGTTTCAGTGTATTAAGCATATGTCTGTAGACTTTGGCCCGTAACTGAAAGGCTAGGAGGAATGTCGCGTACTTCAAAGGTCTCTGCTTCTATTCTACATAGACGCTGGCAACCTCGTGGTGTGTCCCGAGGAAACATACAGGAACCATGTTGATCGTATGACAGCGAGTCGTCATCATCCTCATCATCATACACGTTGGCTAGAGGTGGGAAATACCACAGCTACTGTGCCGCAATACCAAGAAAAAAGGAGAGAAAAAAACGGATGAAAGCTGGCTGAGCTACCGGTAACGGATGGGCATCGTTCCGGTAAGCTACCAGCCGGCTGCTGTGCACCCCCCAAAAAATTATTATGCAAAATTATATAAGGCTAAGTAATGAGATCGTGCTTGGAGGGGGAGGCTAAGAGGGATGGGGTGGGACAAAGAAACTCACAGCACGAACGCCACTGAGGTCGGCTCCTAGCCATATCAGCAAGTGTGTCCAACCAAACGTGTTCACCGACTTTCGGATCCCAACCAGAGAGCCGTGATGCTCCAACCGAGGCCAGCTCAGAAGTAAGGACCTTGATTCCTCTTGACCAAGTCATCGCTTGGCCACCCCCTCCTCTTCGTCCATTCACACCCCCGGCGCGCAAACAACACACGTCGCGGAAGTCGGTGGGCTGGCATGCGTAACACGTGGCCGAGCCATCGGAGCCTGATGCGTGAAATAACGGTGCTGAGCGGTTCAGTTCCATTTCCTGTGCTGTAAACAAGGCGTCGAACACGCTCGTTGCTCACGCGGTGTTCCCACCAAACGTGAGCTAAATTACGAAGGCACCGGTGGTCGAACGTAACTAGCCTCTTCAGGTCCGCTGCTTTAAGCGGCCAGGTTTCACAACCGTACAATAGGGTCGAACGTACTGCTGCATTGTACACTCTACCCTTCAGTGTGAGAGTGATGTCGCGCCGGCGCCATAAGTGGCGAAGGTTAGCAAAAGCGCCCCGAGCTTTTGCTATGCGATTCGTGATTTCATCTTCAATCCCACAGGCGCTGATACAGCTTCCCAGGTAGTTGAATTTTTGAACGACTTCTAGCTGATCCCCACCAAGAGTCAGCGTAGGAGGCGGTCCAGACCAAGCTTGGAGAAACGCATTGCAATTCGGGGGTGCGAAGCAAAGCCCGAAGTGACGGAGAGCTAGTGCTAATCTGTCCAGTGCCGCTTGGCACGTTTGTGAGCTGTCACAAATGAGGGCAATATCATCAGCATACTCTAAATCAAGAAGTCGTTCTCTTCGCTGTGATCAACCAGCTATGGACGCAAATCGATCACAGCGAGTCGTAGGTGCTTTATATCGGTGTGTGCTGCTCAAGCAGGAAAACCATTCACCATCAGGAAAGTAATGTACCAATCGTTAAATTGGCTTAAGGTTTCTGATGTGATTGGTCAAGCTGTGATGGGAAATTAAGCTCGTTTGCTTTATCCACATGATTGTATGCTCAAAGGCAAACATGCTAATGTCCTCAATAGTGTTTAGCATGATAGCTGATAGAATAAGAGTTCCCGTGCTTCCCACTTAGTTGTTTCAGTATTCAGTATTCAGTGGGAAAAACCAGATTTAAAATGTTTTACACAGGCATTTGGTCAGTGCACAGAGTAAAATGGAAATCCTAATTAATCAGTAGCGTCGTATGGACTGTTGTTTATTGGCCCCAATTTTAGTACAGTTTCACAAACATGCGATAATTGAAATTACCGCAAGCTCGCAAAACTGCGCTGAAAGTGGGGCCAATGAACAGCAGTTAATATGCCGTTATTGATTAAGTAGGATTTTCATTTTACCCTGCGCAGTGACCAAATACATGCTTGAAACATTTTAAACCTGGTTTTTACTACCCAATACTGAATACGTAAACTAGAGAGCGAGTAGCAAAATTCTATATTGTGGGTGGATCGGTCACATGCACGGAATCACGTGACTGGTTCCTGCACGGTAGCAGCATATTGCAGTTTTACTACATCTCATCCGGGTTCATCAAAGTCAGCAAAGTGGGCGTCAAGGAATCACTTAACTTTTGACACTGATTTCGCCTCGACTAGCGTCTTGGGCAACTTGTTCTAGTATTTCAGCACTCGACGTTCGAAGCATTGAGAGTGAACATTGCGCTTTAAATCCGGTACCACCAGTTTGTACCGGTGTCCGCGTGTGCTGTTGGGTGCGCGAACGTGCAGCAGCGGCCATGACATAGGGAAGCTGCCCAGATGCAGTATTCGGTACGTCCTAATGAGATCAACTCGAAGCCGACGAGATGACGGGGTATAAAACTTTAGTCTCCAAAATCGATCCTCGTACGACATGTCCTGTTAACGGTAGATGCGCCAAGTAGCTAGGTGCTGGACCCGTTCCAGTCTCTGCACCTCACTTATTACGGTCGGACGATGGGCGTGTGAGCTGTACTCAAGCATCGGTCTTTTCCTGGAAGAAAACAGACAGATGGCAATCTCTTTAGAATAAGTGCAGAAATTGCGTCGTAGTGCCCAATGCAGACGTAGCTCGTTTGCGTACAGGCTGTTCCTGTAGGCGATAATAATGTTTCCTCAGCTTCCGTATCAGACAGGAGCTAAATTCCCTAACATCCATTGAAAAACTTAGCCCCAGGCTGTGTTTTACCTTGAATTTTAGTCACCTAAGCAACTGGTTTTTCGTTGTTTTCCTTATGTTTCTACTGCAGGTGGACCAGGATCGACAAAGCAGATAAACACCTCGAACTCTAACAGCTCGAAGTCAAAAGGCAAACAAGAGAAGACTCTAGCCAGCAACAAGACAGCGAGCGCAGAAAAACACCACACCCCTAATCCCGCTGTTCTTTTGATGGACCTGTGCACAACTCCGGGAGAACCAGAAGCTCATTTTCTATTCAATAGCTATCTGTGCGCCTTACAATATATCAGGAACCAAGTTAGTGATGTACTTTGGGAATTTTGTCTATATGTTCATAAATTCAGCAACGTGCTTGCACATTACAGTTGCAAAACTAACTAGCTGTTATCTGATCGCTGTAGACATATTACCCTCTAATACTCACTGAGTAAAACTGAACATTCTACGGATTAGCGCACGTGGTTCACGTACCTCAACTCGCCTAAATTGCAAGCATAATCCATACTATAAACGAAAAGTAGATCTGATAGTGTAAAATAAACATTTTTTCTTAAAACATTCTAGCGCATCGATAAAGGTTGCCTGATAATTTGTCTGCAATGTTGTCTGGATGTACTTTGCTCCAGTTCACTGTGCGTCGTCTGGCTTTCTTCAAAGTGAGCCAGCACTAAATCCTTCGTCACCAAATTCTTAAAAAATATAGTGGGCATAATCACCAGTTCATTTGGTGAAATCCTTGAAGACGGGCATACGAAACACATCTTCAATCTTCAACATTTGCCCAAATGTAAACAGATTTTTCGAGAACCTGCGACTATTAACTTATCTAGCTGCTTCATTTAATTTTACTCTTCTCACACATGCCCGGAACTTCATTCAAACAAAGGAATCTAAAAAATATTAGCTTCCATCTTCACAGTGTTTCATTCGATCCAAAAATCCAATAACTTGACTAATTCAGCTGAACGTAATATAAACGAATACACATTTTCGTATATAATACAATAATAATAATACTAATAATAATGATGAATATTTTCCATTATACAAAATATAATCCTCCTGCATGATCAAGCTTACACCCCCATGGTACACAAGCGTAACTACAGAAGGAAAGGTCCGAATCATGACAGTGAAAGTGCTATGACAGATTTCAAAAAGCAAATAAAAATTCAAAGTTGCAATTAAACTCTATCCCAACGAGACTGGACCTTAACATATTCTGACGGCTTGCGCAACTCCTTGACCCACAGAGCTATACTGGGTGGTGCCTCCAGGCACCATAGGAGCTACTCATACCAGGTTGGACAAATCTGAGAGATCAGACAAACAGTCACCTGATCCTACAGGTTGGGGGTTTGAAATGAGATGACATCCATTTCTGTACAACTAAATCATTACCACCTCCCAGCTGTCTTGCTGACAGTCTTTTGAGCTAATGCCTTTAGCTGAAGACTCTAATCGTTCTCCTGTCTAAGTCTGGGTCTTCTGGCGGAAACTAAGCCCATCTGCAACGAAGACTTTTTCTTCAAACATAAACTTCACCCTGCATCGGCGTCACGCAGATCATCAAGGCTCCATTTATCTGCTGCATACAGCAGGGCGAATAAGCGAAAACAAGCTGCTGCTGGCGCCTCCCTTCTTTCTGTTCCACCTGTCTTTCTTGCTTCCATCCCAACCCAAATTAATAACGTTCCCTCTATAATTCCTAGCTTAGTTGACAGCAACCGTAGTGCCACTGAAGTACAACCAAGTGCAGCCACCATCCCACAACGCGCACCGGACGCCTATCAGTAACGGTCCCCTATACGGCCACGCTGTCCGTTTCCATGGCGACGTTCAACGTTCGCAGTCTAAGCCAAATAGGTCAACAGGCTGCACTCGCGCGCACCTTGGACACACTGGGTATTGATGTGTTGTGTGTCCGAAACTAGGATCAATGACCCTAACAGGGTTGTTGAATCAACTGCACCAGGCTTATCCTCTCGTTATTGGTTGCATGCATTCGTAGACGCCGGTGAAGCACACACGGGTCAAGCTGGTGTAGGTATCATTCTCCGCTCCAAGTCTGAGCCCTGGCTTTTTCATTGGATTCCGGTGAACAGTCGTTTGTGTGCATCCCGTTTGACGACATCAGCAAAGGTTGATTCACGAATTAGTACAAAACACCGCTTGTTCGTGATTTCCGCTTATGCTCTCACCGACTGCAGTTCTAATGCTGCTAAGGATACATTCTATCACCAACTGAACGTGCTACTACACAGCGCTACTAGTTCAGATAGTACAGTACTTGCAGAATATATGAAAGCACAACTATTTCGCCTGATTTATTCAAAAGCTCAACAGTGTGATAACTATGGACTTAAATCCGAACCGACAGACGACGGTGAGCGTCTGCGGCAATGGTGTGCGGAGCACCAGTTGTTTCCAAGTAGCACTGCTTTTAGACACAGTGGGCGCCGAAGTGCAACTTGGCGTCCTCATATAGCTGGCCAACGATGGACCCAATTAGACCACATAGCCAGAAGTTTAAATGCCGTGGTCCCATCGTGGATTGCTGCTCGTACTGGAACACATGCGTCGACTCTTATCATCATCATCCGGTTTGAAATTTACCGCTCCGCTCCCAGGCCAGTTTATTCCAGTATTTGGTGTGAAAAATTGATATGTGTGATCAGAAATTATTTAATTCTGCATAATTTTTGATTCTGCATTATCCGGTGATATATTTAGATCCATTTCTGCAGTAATTTTCTGGTTTTTTGTCTACTGAGTGTTTCGTCGACCCTAGGGTTATCTAGCTCGTGTGCTTTGAAGTACACTTTAGCTAGTTGTTATCATTATATTAGCTGTTTCGTCCTCTGGTGTGTGTAATTCACTCTAGTTAATTCTTTGGCGTTTTACGACATTACTACCTGTAATAATTTATCCAAACTTCTGTCCCGCTTCATAACACGGATTTGCTCTTATCGATCGGTACCTTTTTTGAAATGGCCAAACAGTCACCTTGTGGAATGTGCTGCAAAGTCGTTGGGCATCGAGCTAACGCAATTACATGCAGTATCTGCTGTGTTAAGCTTCATATTTCGTGTGTTGGTCTTACAGCAGACCAATTTCGTGTAATCCATGGTATTCAGAAGGAATTTTGAAGATCGTTTGTAAACTGTGCCAAGCTAAACTTGCGCAGAATAGAACCAACACGTCTAGCAAGTGGACCAGTACAACGAAAAGCTCTAAAATGGCTAGCTCGCCTTGTGCTACACCACAGGCAGAGAAGCAGCCAGTGCCTAGTACATCGCGTCCATCTCGGAACCAAGATACTAAAGTTCTATCAGGATCTCCCTCAAGGCCGGCAATATGTTCAGCTGACAGTAAACCTCTAGTTTGCAATAAACAAATTGATGATAACGAATGGAAAATACAAACATCAAAGAAACCAAGAGCAGTGTCTAACGACCTGAGGCGCCGTAGCCTCATGATATTTTACGCACCTGAATCAAATGATTCCAACCCTCAGGTGCGCTATGAACACGACGTCGAGTTTTTACGATCGTTGATTAATAGACAACTCGATGTAAATGTGGGCGGGCTCAAAGTTCAGCAGATCGCCCGTCTAGGAAAAAGAATGGAGGGCGAAAGTCGGCCAATGAGGGTAACTTTTGCCGAGGAAGCAAGCCCCAAGTTACTCTTGTCCCGTCTTCATAGACTAAAGGGTCTGAAAATGCATGTGCGCGCTGACTTAGACCCAGCAGACAGAGCAAAACTTAAGTCTGCTATGATTGAATTAAAGCTGCGCACAGAGGATGGAGAACCCTATTTGCGAATTGTAAATTTTCGGGTAGTTGCCCGGATTCCTCCACGAATCCGGATCAACAGGTCTCTAATGCTTCAGGCGCGCCCAGCGGTTCCTACCGCGGTCTGCGCGTAGCCTTTACTAACGTATACGGTCTGATGAACAAGCTCGATGTGCTGTACGACTTTGTAAGCTCTCAGCGACCAGATGTATTACGCCTTGCGGAGACATGGTTAAACTCCGAGGTAACCGCCCAAGAAGTGGAAATCACCGGCTACTCATGCTTCCGCTGTGATAGACCATCAAATGATCGCGGTGGCGTTCTACTTTACATTAAGTCTTCCTTGTGTGGGAGACTAGTGAGCGCCTACCAAAGCGCTGATGGTCTATGTGAACAGTTACGGTGTTCGATTCACCTCAGACGTTGCGAGTTGCTCGTAGGCGTGGTATATCGCAGTCCACTGAGCCGCTGTTTGGACTGGTTTCTGCATGTCCGCAACCACATGAGTCGTCAGATGTTCCTACTCATGGATGATTTCAACTTACCTCGAATACAGTGGCCTGAAGCTGAACTTCTCCCCGGCCACTGTGAAGTCGAGAGGAAGTTTACGGGGTTGCTATTTGAAACTGGGGCCACACAGCACATCAACCAACCGACATGCATTACTGCGCGCGCGGCTCCATCATGCTTAGACCTACTTTAGACTAGCTGTGAGCAGCGTGTGCATAACATTCAAATCTTAGAGCCTCTGGGAGCGAGCGACCACTCGATGATTATAGGCTGCTTGGAACTACCACTGCCCTACTCTCCCCCGCTAGAGCCAGCCTTCAACTATTGGAAGGCGGACTTTAATGGCCTCATTCGAGCAGCGCGCCAGACGGACTGGTCTTTACCACAGGATTCATGTATTGAAACCTGTTGGACTATCATTAAAGAGGGAGTGAAATCGTTGTGCGCCCGATTTGTACCCCTCAAATTTCGAAAAGTTGGGCCAGTCAAACCACATTGGTTCGACAAAGAGTACAACAAACTGGCCCGACGACGACGCAGACTATGGAACAAGTTCGTGTTATCTGGCTCTGATGAGGACTACAATGCGTATAAGGTACAGCGAAATCGCTGCAACGATGCGAAAACAAGAAAACGCAGAAGCTTAGAAGAGGAGCTTGCAGCCGGCGCAAAAACTGCTCCCAAGAGGATCTTTGCATACGTGAAACGGCGCCTGAGGCCTGTGGCCAATGTCCCAGTGTTAGAAGACTCCAATGAGCAGCCCCTAACCTCGAGTACAGATCGTGCTTTCGCATTGGCGACGCACTTCGCCTCAGTATTTGCAAGTGACCAGCTGTCTGTAACGAGTTAGACGAGTACCGATCCAGCCGAACTTAACAGCCTGGACTGCAATATTGAGGATGTGCGCAAGCTTCTAGCAAATCTTGACGGGACCAAGCCTGCTGGGCCAGATGGTATACACCCACTGATCCTCAAGTCCCTATCGGCCATCAT